AGAAGGAAATTTGACTTTGGGTACAATATACAGATGATGCATTATAGAATTGTACAGTTGAAACCTATGTAATTTTATTAGCCAATGTCACCCCCATAAATTCAATACCTTTTTAAAGTTTGCATTAGTTGTTTTATATTATATGCATATATTATTATGCATTTTTCCTCCTTTAACATGAAGATTACTTTCTGCTCAAATATAAAGATCTGGTTCAATTCAACTTATGAATTTAACACATCTTACTTTTTTCAGTTTTTTAAATTTATTTATTTTTAATTTATTTTAAAATATATTTTTATAGATTTCAGAGAGGAAGGGAGGAGGAGAGGTAGATAGAAACATCAATGATGAGAGAGAATCATTGTTCAGCTGCCTCTGGCACACCCCACACTGGAGATGGAGCCTGCAACCTGGGCATGTGCCCTGACTGGGAATCAAACTGTGACCTCCTGGTTCATAGGTTGATGTTCAAACACTGAGCAACAGCAGCTGGGCTTTTAAAAAAATTAAATTTATTAAAGTAAAATTGGCTAATACCATTATATAAATTCAAGGAGTACATTATAATTTGATATCTGTATATTTTATTGTATGCTCACCCCCAAAATACAATTTCCTTCTGTTACCGTGCATCTGACCCCCTTTCCCTAATTCACCATCTCCCTACCGCTCTCTCTATGTGGTAACCAGCATTCTGTTGTCTGTATCTGTGAGTCTGGCTTTCTTTTTTTTTTTTTTTTTAAATATATTTTATTGATTGTCTACAGAGAGGAAGGGAGAGAGATAGAGAGTTGGAAACATCGATGAGAGAGAAACATCGATCAGCTGCCTCCTGCACATCTCCCACTGGGGATGTGCCCGCAACCCAGGTACATGCCCTTGACCAGAATCGAACCTGGGACCCCTCAGTCCGCAAGCCGACGCTCTATCCACTGAGCCAAACCGGTTTCGGCGAGTCTGGCTTTCTTTGTTTTGTTACTTTTTTGTTTTATATTCCACATATGAGTGAAGTCATAAGGTTCTTGTACTTTTCTGTCTGATTTATTCCACTTAGCATAATACCTTCAAGATCCATCTATGTTGTCACAAACGACAATGTTTCATCTTTTTTTTTTTATGGCTGAGTAGTTTCTGTATTGATGGACACTTGGGTTGTTCCCAAGTTTTGATTCTGACCGTAAATATAGTGAATATTCATGTATATGTCTCCTTGTGCGCATGTGTGAGAATTTCTCTTGGGTGAATACCTGGAAATGGAATAGCTGGGCTATGAAGTATGCCAATTTATAATTTTCTAGGATACTGGTTAATTGCTCTTCAAAGTGGTTATACCAATTTCTTCTCCCTCCAACAATGTAAGAGAAATCCTTCACATCCTTAGAAATGTTTTATCTTGCCAATCTTTAAACATTTTGTCACTCTAGTGTGAGAGGAATGTCATTATTTAATTTGCATTTCAGAGTCCTTATAGTGTGAGCAGTTTTTTAAATATGTTTCTTGGCCATGGAGTTTCCCCTTTGTCAATTGTCTGTTATTAATTTCACTGGCTTCTTTCTAGACCTGTGGTTGCTCAATGGTAGTGAAGGATAGTTCTTAGGGGTAGATTTCATGATCATATAACCAGCAGCTATCATGTGGGCACCTCTGCAGATGGTAACTTATGAAGGGGAATTCCTGGCATCTGAGAGGACACTTGCCGACCTTTTAATATAGTTCTGTTGATTTTTCCATTTTGAACAGGAGAAAAAAATCATTATTTATCTAAGAAATTCCTGTCTCCACAGTGGAAGAGTATTCTCTAGTGACCATTTTTTCATAATTTTATATGGTTCTTTTGATGGTTTTCCACAAAATCGCCTGTCTAGTCTTAGATCTGAGAGGAGTTACGTTTTGCTTAATGTCTGACTTATTTTCATCTCATGAACACTATAAATTTACCATTGACCAAATTTGTGTCCCATTCCTTCTTTTCTTGGGCATTGGTGACTATAAAACCTAGAAATAAGCTTGTGGCTTTTTTCTAACAAGTATACACATTTTAAAACCTAATTTTTAGCTCCATTGATGTCTCTGCCCTTGCTTTTCTTTCTTGTATGACTTCCATTTTTATTTATGCTAGTTCACTGTATTTTGTCGAGTACAACTAGGGAGTTCATGAATTAAAAATCTGGTGTAATCAATGTGTTTCTCTCACATAGATGTTTCTTTCTCTGTTCCTCTCTCTTCCACTCTCCCTAAAAAATCAACAGAAAAATATCCTCGGGTGAGAATTAACAAAAATACAAAACAAAACAAAAGCCCTAGCTGGATAGAGTGTCAACTAGCAGACCAAAGGGTCCCAGGTTCGATTCTGGTCATGGGCATGTACCTTGGTTGCAGGCTCCTCTCTGGTTTGGGCCCTGGTCAGGGCATGTGCAGGAGGCAACCGATGGATGTGTTTCTCTCACATCAATGTTTCTTTCTCTGTTTTTCCCTCTCTCTTCCACTCTCCCTAACAGTCAATGGAAAAATATCCTCCGGTGAAGATTAATAACAACCCCTCCCCAAATCTGGTGAAAAGTGTAAAAAAAATAAAATGAAGGGCATAAATAACATAAAGAGAAATGCTCTGTGCCTCAGTTGATTAAGGACCTGTTGGTGTTGGGCCCCTGTCATAAGCATGGAGGATACAATGATGTCTAGACAAAGAGAGTTGAGATTTTCAGAACACTGACAGCCACCATGCTCGGGCAGCTATAAGGAGTGGATAGGTTTCTCTGAAAATCTTGATTGTGAGCCCAAGTGAAACCTTACCCCACACTACTTACCTTTTTTACCACGATTGCATGGAAAAAGCATTAAAATTTAGGGCTCCCTGGAATCCATCTCTTATTGGGAGATAATTTGGAAGGAGGTCACTGTGTTCTCTATTAAAAATGTTAGTGGAATGAAAATCTTGGAAAATGCATTTAATGTGTGATAATTTTAAGCATTTAATAAAAACTCTTGATGTTGAAAATTGTTGTTTGAGCATTAGGTTGGAGTCTTAAAATGTTTCCTTCTGCGTGCGGTAGAAAGAGATAAGAGAATGAATCCTTTCTGCACATCTACTAGTATTAAGTGCCAGGCCCTGGGTGTCAGGGAGAACCAAGATCTTTGAGTAGAAGATGGCTTTCTACCTTGGAAGTTGCATTTTTATATAATGGGGATAATGTTCATGTGAGTCCTTTTAAAATTATTTCTCTTTGGTGTAATTTTATTCCCTCAGAGCATTTACTCATTTATTTCTAAAATTTGTTTTCTAGAAATGGGTGCACCAACTCTTACCATAAATATTTTTTGTTTCATTTTTGGATTAGGTGGAAGGGACCTATAGATGCTGCATCTTCTCTCCAATTGGTTACTTTCAAATTTTTTCCCATTTTAACTTATGTTGGTAACAGCAGGATTATATATTTGTTTTCAGCATCTTAATTGCAATATTTTATGTATCTTAATGAAAAAGAAAAAAAAATGTATCATAGCACAACTTCCTATAGTGACTTTAGAGCTCTAAGGGTTGTCAATACATCCATTAGGATATCCATCCATCCATCCATCCATCCTTTATCTGTTGAATAGCTACTTTGTGCAAGGTACTTTGGTAGATGCGGTGGTGTATATTAAGAACTGTAAAACAGGAGCCACTGTCTTCAAAGTGGTTTTGATCTAAGAAAAATGGACAGACAGGTTCTTGACTATCACAAGGAAATTCCATGGAGACAATTTTAACAGCTTTGTGTTTGTATTACTGCGTCTATATTCTTGGTCATAGGTGACAGAAATTCAGAACAAACTTCACTTAGTGGCATCTGACCTCAGAGATAGCTGGATTCAAAGGCTCAAGTGGCATTTTCAGTGTTCTATCTTTTTTTTGTATCTCCTATCTCTCTTCTGTGTGTGAATTTATTCCTGGATAGTCCCCTCATGGCAGAAAAATGGAAGCCCCATCCTGTATAATCTTTCAGCTATCACCCGAGAGAAAGAGAGAGAGAGAGAGAGAGAGAGAGACAGAGAGAGAGAGAGAGAGAGAGAGAGAGAGAGAGAGAGAGAAAGAGAGAGAGAGAGAGAGAGAGAGAGAGAGAGAGAGAGAGAGAAAGAAAGAAAGAAAGAAAGAAAGAAAGAAAGAAAGAAAGAAAGAAAGAAAGAAAGAAAGAAAGAAAGAGAGACTGACTCTGTCTGGACCAGCATTCATCTATTTAATTTTAGGGAGGATTCTCATTGGTCTAGTTGAGGTCACATGACCAAGTCTAAGCCTATCATCATGATCAAAGGGATGAAATTCTCTGTCCAGCCAGAGTCACCAGTTTATTCCTATATTTGAGGCTTTGGGAGGTAGAGGAAGGTTCTTACAGAGAGTGCACTAGAGCCATGTGGGGTTTGTGAAATGTGTTTCCTGAAAGGAAAAATTGTTATTGTTACTGACAAAGGCAGAGAGAGGGATGCTGGGCCAGGAAAAGAGAAAGTGGGGAGGAAGGGAGGGAGAGAGAGAAAAGGGGAAGGGAATCTGCTTCAATGTTTTAGGAGCTAAAAGGAGGGAGTGATTGCTTCTCTTGGAATGTGAGGAAAGGTGTCATTTGTCTTGCTTGTGATGATGCCAGCATCCCTGTGGCTGTTGCCATAAGGGTGAACTGCCTTTGAGAGACTTGGAAATGAACGCATTTCCAAGTTATTTTCACCTCTATGCACAGGGTGAAAGGGGAGGGAGACTAAAATTGTTAGTTGAAAGAGTGATAAAAATTAAGAAAAATGAAGCCTGGTGAACCTGTCATTGACCTTGACACCTACTCAATCCTGGTTTCTTCTCAATCACACTTGCTTTTGCTCCCCTAGCTAAATTTTTTTTTTTTACATGGTGGGGTTAGGTTGGGTGGGGAAAGATCACGTTGAGCACTGTGGTAAGATTGTACGGATGTTACCCATTCTTTTATGTTCTGTCTACATTCTGAGTCAATGGTTTTCACTCTGCTTTTTTGCAGTTACATTGCAAATCAGAAAAGGTTAGAAATCATCAACGAGGATGATGTTGAAGCTTACGTGGGACTGAAAAATCTGTGAGTACTTGGGACTTGTGTACTTAATCTCAGAACTTCTTCTCATGTTCTATTAGAGTTAGGTGGCATTTGTCGATTAATTCTAACATGCGTGCAATTATGTTTTCATAGGACAATTGTGGATTCAGGATTAAAATTTGTGGCTCATAAAGCATTTCTGAAAAACAGCAACTTACAGCACATGTAAGTAAAAGTTGTCTTTTGCTTCCCCAGGCCCAATTTACTAAAAATTTGCCTCTCTGCTTATATTCCTTCTTTTCCAACTCTAACCCCACTTTTTAAAAATTAGTATAACTGTGACAAAAGCTTAGAATCATTATCTTTGACTTCTGAATAGCGTTAGAGGGGTATTAGAACAGCCTGTTTATTCCCTTTCATGAATTTCTTGGCCATTTCCATCTTGGACAGAGCAATAGGCCAAGGCAAGAATCTGATGTGAAAACTATGTCCTTGATTCTTTTCCTTGGAATCATGACATTGCCTGGAAGACACTAAACCAGTGGAATGGAAAGACACTGACTTGGCCATGGCCTTTTCAGGGAGCTCACAGTTACTAATGCCTTGCCCCCCCACAATAGGTCCTCTTTTGAAGTTTCATTTTAAAAAAGCTATCTGTCATGATTGACAGAAGTGGAGAAACGTCAATCATGGGACATGCCAAAGGTTCAGACAATTATTAACAATAGCAAATGCTTCCCCTGAAGTCATGTTGAAGCTTTGTCAGCTGAAGTCAAGTGTAAATAAATAGGGACAGTGGGAGCTCTTAGGCTGCTGGCTGCTAAATCCTGTTAGATGATAACACTTAGTCAACAAGGTGTGGCCTTTCAAAAAGGTTTCATCATTAAACAGAGAATCACCCACTCCTAAGCTCAGACTGGTGTCCCCATGTCCTGATTTTCAGTGGGACCTTCTGTTGGAGGAATGTCGCCTGCATTCATTGGGCCTTTGGTGCTTTGCAAATTATTTGTAACAATACCTTATGTGTCTCATAGTCACCTGCATTATCTCACTTGGTTTTTCTAACACGTGGTAGGGAAAATCATTTTTATTCCCATTTCATGGACAGAATATCAGACTGAGGAAGATGTTGGACTTTCTCAGGTACAGAGATTGAAAGTGACAGAATTATGACTCCAGGACTTGCTCCTGGCCATGGTCTTCCAATAAGAGTACAGGAAATAAAATCTGTGTCATCCCTAAGATTCAAGGATCAGCGTTCTGGTAACATCTGTCCTCTTTCTTTTCTTGGGGAGACTAGTTCCCCAATGGATTTTCAGGCCGGTTGTAAAAGAAATCATTCTCTTAGAGCAGATTGCCTGGGCTCTCTATGGAGATTTTTGATATTATGAAAAACCTTAATTTCATAAAGCCACTAGGTTGACTTCATATTTTATAGGTGGCGTTAATGATGAAGTCAATTTAAAAATAAAGCCTATGGAATTAAGATAAAAAGCATTTGGCAAAAATGTGACAAAACTCCAAGGAACTTTATTAACACATTTCACTAAATGCTGTTTGGCACCATCTCTGCAGTCAGTTTGCCTGAACAAGTCTGATGGCTGCGTAGGCCTTGACAGCATAAACAAGAGAGAAGCTGGAGAGAAGAAAAAAGGCAAAATGCTCTAATGCGGTCACATGTATTAATGACCTCAGTAGTTAATTCTGGTATTTTCATTACACCTGACTTTAGACCCTAATTGCTCAACAACCACATTTTACTGGCTGTTTTACCAAATCATTTCCCCTACTGTTGTGATTTTTGTTTAGTGAGCTAGGATTAATTGTAGTGTTAGTAATAGACTAGTTTATTTCTTTATTGTGCCTCTTATATTTTCCCTACTTTCCTTGTTGCAAGCTATTTCTAGGAAACCAAAGCTACCTTGTGTATTTTTGCTACTATATGGTAGAATACTTTTAATGGCATTCTATATATAAAGCCCAGCATTTTCCCTATCTTCCAAAGATGTGCCATTTGAAAATAGGAAACCAATGAAATAGGCCTATCCTATACAGTTTCATTAAAAGCCAATAATTTGGAAGCCCAGTCACTGGGCAGATTGATATTTGTAGGCATAGTTACACAGTAAGGCTAGTGTTCAAACTGTTATGAAGGAATCATGACATGTCCATAAGCTTCATTGATTTATGTCATGAAAGAGGCTCTAATCACCCAACTAAGGAATTAAATTAAGTTGTTGGCTTTTAAGGATGGTGGGGAGGGAGGGGAGAATCAAGTCAAGTGCTTGCCTTTCCAGACCTTAGTCCCAACCTCTGTTTAAGATCAAGAACTTGGGGCAACTGGCTTCCTCTTCCCTGATTTCCCACAAGTAAATTTCACCCTTAACTTGAATATCAGCATCACGGGTGACAGTGAGCTAGGAAGGAAATGTGTATCAGAAGCTGTTTCTTGATGTCCCTGGGATATGCTGATTATTTCTGCTAGTTTCTCCTATGGTATAAAATCCTGCACAAGAGCATTGCACTTGGGGTTTAAGGAAATTCAGATTGGCCCCTGTCTCTCACTTTCAGCACTCCCCTCCACCCTGCTCATATTTGCAGGCCTGGGGACTCTCCAGAGGCCCTGTGACTGGTCACTGAGTTTATTTCTTGGTGCCTTCATTCCTGCCTGTCGCCCGAGAACCCAGAGACTGTGAGAAAAGCCAGCATTTGTGTTTTCCAGGGGCTTTGCAGAGGTGCTAATTAGCTCCTTTGCAAAGTCCTATAATCAAACAGTAAGAGGATTGTGGATTTTTTCCCCTCTCCTCCTCCTTCTTTTTGGCTTTTGGCCCCAATAATAAGTATGGTTCATAAAACTCATCTTGTTCTTTGGCACGTAACCCAGCTCTGGGCTGTGCTGCTGGCAGCCCAATAGGGGCAGCTGCGCCCGGTGCCGGCTCGCTGGCTGACCCGGGAACCTTGACAATAAGTATCATTTTTCTTTGCTCCTCTCCTGTTCTTCTTGGAAGGAAGGGCAGGTTCCCCTGTACTCCCCTCCCCACCCCCCCAGAAGGCTTGGGATTTCTGATGAAGATGAAAATATTTGTGTCTCCAAGACTGTGGGGAAGATAGGCAGATTGACTTTTCAATGTATAATACTCCAATGAAAGCCATTCTTAATTCACATTCCAAAAGAAAAAATTTATGTAGGCACATTTTTTAACTTCCTGGCAGAGATTTTTTTCATGTCGGGGAGCATTCCATGTTCCGTGTGAAAGAGAAGATGGATGCATAGAAGGAAGTGGGCTCCCTTGTGTAGGTAGGGGTTTGGGTGAGTGGAAATGCCAGTATAGAATAAGGCTGGGAGTGGACACATACATACATCCTTGAATTATGTGGCACAAAAGTGGCCCTTTCTATATTCATCAGCTGCCTAGTTTGAGATCATGCATTAGCTCCTGGGTTGTAACCCCTTTCTGAAGGAGACAGGTCAGACACACCCAGATACTTTTAACTTATGATTTTGTTACGCTGTTTGACCAGCCTCAGGTCAGGGTCCAGGATTACTGTCACCCTCAGATCTCCCATTCTTATCTGACTCTCAGCCCAACACTCACTCTCCTGAGCAGGAAACGGATACTGAAGGGCTCATTGCAGTTCATTGAGATGTTGGCTGTTTTTGTAAAAGTTGGTGTTTATTTTATATTCATATTACTTACTAAACACATGTCTAGAGGACCAACCACTGGACACTTTTTAAGTAAATTCAACTAGTAAACAAATTCACAGAGGGAGTCAGCTGCCAGGATTATGGCTTAGAATTTTCCAAATCAAGGTCTCATAGCATTGATCATTGGAAACTGAAACTCTTGCCCATTGAAAAGACTACATGTTTGGAACATGTAGGTAAATTCAGTATTATTTTTCCCATATATGACATCTTTTCTTTGATTGGTCCACATCTTAAAATGACATATCGTTAGAATAGTTCAAGAAAAATTCTGACATACTCCTCCTAATCTTCTGTTGTTCTCTTCATGGCATTATCTAGTTATTAGAAATTTTATAGAAATGATCTCAGCAGAGTTTATTAATCAATAGCTGTTTTCTTTCCTATGAGGATGTGTTAAATCCAGTTCATATCCAGAGTTCTGTATGTCACATAACTTCAAAATATTCATGACACTCATTTTAAAGCATCTTTTCTCTCTGGTGATTTTATGGTTTTAAATTAAATTAAATTTAATCTTTCTATTATTTGTTCAAAAGGTCAGAAATCTCTAGGAGGTATATAACTTGGCTCTGAATCAGCATATGAAAAATAAGCTTTTGGGTAAAAAAGAGACATAACATAGACAATAGGAAAATTATGTTCCACCCTCTGCTCTCCCACCCCCCATTGGCAAGAATGATAGGTAGGAGAAGCAGGAAAAACTAAACTATCACTTCTGGTAAAAGAAAGAGATGATTGGGTTTAAGTAAGGCATGGGCCATGATCAAATAAAATTATATTGTGAAAAAAATCTCAATTTGAATACTTTATTTCTGAAATATATCATTTTAGATTCACATTTAATCTTTTTTATTCCTTTCAGCAATTTTACTCGAAATAAACTGACGAGTTTGTCTAGGAAACATTTCCGTCACCTTGACTTGTCTGAGCTGTAAGTAATGATTTTGTGTTTGGTGAAAATTTTTTCAAGGAAAAGGGCAATTAAGTAAAATTCTTGAAAAATGATTTCTCAAGTTTTAGTTACTTGTATTTTTTTCCTTAAGAAGACAGAATTGAGTAATAAAAATTAGAAACCACAATAGTAATATATTGTTTATGATAAGTTTCAATGTTTTTACATAAATGATTTATTTTGTAATGGAGGGAAAATATTTAAATGTGTTGATGACTAATAGCCAGAATTTTCAAGTGTGTTCAATTTTTGTGTTATCACCATGAAGCAGATGTAAATTGTTGACATTCCTAGGGTTAAAGGTGCCCAAAGAACCCTGCAGCAGAGGTTCAGTGTAGCAGAGGTGGGCCAAAATGGACAAGGCCTTTGAATACCAGGCAAAGCTTTTGCTTAAACTGTATGTGGCCTGAGTTGTAGGGTCTACCCCATTCACAAGGAAATTGGGCAGATTAGAAGATGTCACTAGTGGAGCGACAGCAAGCTAATTGGTAGCAATGAGGGTTACATGATGAAAGTCTTAGTGATTGGCAATGATTTTGAATAAACTGAATTCAGGTAGTTGAAGTACTAGGTTTCTAACACAGGAGTAGACAAATGAAAAACTTAAGGAAGATACACAAAATAGAATAAGATACTCTGTAAAAATTTTAAGCATCACTGCAGAAAATTTTCTTGCTTGGTTAAAAATTAGAGTTCTGATTCCAAATTCACATGTCTCAATATTCTCCCTGCAACATATTTAATGAATTCATTCAACAAATGTTAATTGTGTGCCTGTTACAAATCAAAGTAACATGATAATAGGCCATGGTGATAAAAGATCTCTGCGGTCCAGGATTCTGCTATGTGGTGGGAGAGGTAGAAGTCTAACATGCACATGTAATAATAATCACTTCAAAAGGAGTTTGCACAGTGAGCTAGAGGAAGAAGCCAGTTGTCCAGCATTATGTGGTCATAGGAATATCGTTACATGTATAGCTGAAGATCCCCTGTCTTCTTTATCCCCTCTGATGATTCAACAGACTTTCTTTTTAGAATGATTCTTTAGTTTTTCATGTACTCAGACTGCCAGGAAATAGCTTGAATTAGTGGGGCTTAAACATTGTGGATCTCCTCTGCATTGTATTCCATATCTAGTCGCGCCAAATCTTATTTTGGTGTTGGAGGGATACATGGAGGCCATCAAGCAGACACAAATTAAAGAGTCTGCCATGATCACATTTCCCCAAAGAAATTCCCAGAAAAGTCTCCAGGGATCCCTGAGATTCTTAGAACCCGACCAGAAAACCACAGGAGTAAATGATGCCGCAAAGCCCAGGTCCGGTCCTCACGGAAATCTTAAGTATTGTGGTTAATTCCAGGCAGAGCCTATGTAACGATTTTAAATGGCCTCATTTAAAGGCTCATTACCATAAATGGAATTCGTCTTAAATAGGCCACTGAGTATTATAAATAAGCATTTAAAGATTTTTTTCTTGTGGTTTTTATTTTCCTCTTGACTATTTCCTCCTTCACCAGTCGCAGGCCACAGGAGTCCAGGCAGCACGGCTGAATGGCTGAATGGTGGCTTTCTCTCAGCAGATCTTCTCACAGTGGGCTTAGAGGCTCAATCTGGAGCTCACTGCCCTTGCTTTCTGAATTCCTGAGCTTGGTGTGTGTGTGTGTGTGTGTGTGTGTGTGTGTGTGTGTGTGTAGCCATGTGAGCACGTGCGCACATGCATGCCAGAGGTCCAAGAGCTCCCTTGGAGATTGTCTCTCTCACATTCACTCCACCTTTCTTGCATCAATCAAACGAACTGTGGTTGCAGAAAGCTGTGAGCACCACCTGATTAGCTCTCACACTTCAGTCCTAGCATTGGATTTACAGTCTCATTTTAAATGAAGATGACACTTTTCTGCCCCCCACTGAAGTTTGAACTTATTAAATAACACTTCGATCTCTAGCCTGACCAGAAATAAGTATGGTGGTATTTCTGAAAACTTACTGTTGGCATCTTTACTTAAGATCTTCTTAATAACTGTATAATAACAGTAATAAAATGGTTACAGCACCTTATTTCCCCTCATTTTATGAGACACACTCTTTTTTTCCTACATTACAGCTATTTCTGTCCTTATCTTGTTTCCCTATTATTCTGAAAGGTCTTATATCACTTTGCATCTTTTAGCCTTTACAGTGGTGTTTGCACACAGCAGAAGCTCAGTAAGCATTAGATAAATTAACGAATAATAAGTAGTTACTAATATGTTTTAAAGGTAGGTATGACTTTCAAAGATGGCTGGTTAGAAAGAATTCATAATTTTGTAGTGCTTCAGGAACATGAATGTAGTTAAAATAAAAAAAGAGAAGCCTGACTGGGTTTCATTTTTGTTCCATGTAGGATCTTGGTGGGCAATCCATTCGCATGCTCCTGTGATATTATGTGGATCAAGACTCTTCAGGAGAGTAAATCCAGTCCAGAAACTCAGGATTTGTACTGCCTAAACGAAAGCAGCAAGAATATTCCCCTGGCGAACCTGCAGATCCCCAATTGTGGTAATTCACTTTTAAGTCAATGAGTTCTAGTTGCTATTAATTATTCTAATTGCCTTGGTGTGGTAAAGAGTCTGGGAAGATTACCACTACCCAGATTTTATACAGTATGCTGTTATGTCTCCAATGAATTGGGCAACATTTGTGTGCAGTGTGGAGAAATCATTTGGGAGCAACTTTGCTGAACATTTTTTGCAAGTAGAATATTAATTTTGAATGAATGACTTTAAAGTGCACAGAGAAAAAAAGCACACACTGTATTCCTTTGTTTCTTTGTTCATTCGTCCGTCCATCCATCCATCCATCCATCCATCCATCCATCCATCCATATATCCAAAAACTATCTGCTAAGAGTGCAGTACTCCATTGGCCACATACAGGCAGTCCTCGGGTTATGTCAGACTCGACGTACATTGTTTCGCGGTTACGTCGCCATCTCCCATTTACAGTATTTATTAAAAAAAAAAAGTTCAGTCATTTCGACGTATGTACATATGTGCTTTATGTTTTTTTTATTATTTATTTACCACAAGTAAAGGTCAGGAATTGTTATCTTTCTTTTAAATTTTTTTTACTGTTTCACTTCATTACTGCTGTGCATGTGCTCCAAGTGAGTGACTGGGTGCTTATGTAGGTGGATTCTGACTTATGGCGAAAATCGAGTCACATCACACCACAGAAACGGGTCTCTGAGGTAACCTGAGGACCTACCGTATATACTTGGTTGGCCCTCAGGCCATGTAGAGGGAAGGCTTTCAAGGCGATAAAGTGTCCTGGAAGCATAAGAAAATGCAGTTCAATCCAGATGCCAGATGTCTATGTCTCTGGATGGGGCTCCTCAGATTTTCCCTTACAAGTGCTTTATCCCATGTCTAAGTTCAAAATCTCTTCCTTTACCCTTGTCCCCACTCCTCTCCTCAGCATTTACACCTTCAGAATTTAAAATGGCACCATGTGATGAAATCACAGCTCTCTGTGAGGACTAGTGTGTTTATAGGGAAGTAGAATCCAAGGGTGCCTGTTAGGATTTTACTGCTAAGGGCCTCTGGGACATACCTCTACAATACTCACATATTCATATTATTCCTCTGTTGAAATTTTAATCAGTTAGTCAACCAGTTAAACAGTTCACAATGATATTTGATTTTCTGGTCTAGAGGTGACTCAGCAGGAAACTAGGTAGCATTGGTTCTCCACCGCCCTGAGGAATCTTCATATTGACCATAAACATCCGGTTCTTTGTTTTCAGAGGACCCTATTGTTTGGGGTCAGTTTTCATTTAAGGAAAATATAGCTGCTGCTTATTTTTAATGAGAATGTAATGAAAGGAAAGATAAGTGTTCACTTCTGACCCTGAAGGAGCTTAGAAGACAGCAGTTACCCTTCCCACAGATTTTTCTGTAATAACCAGAGATGTTTGGCTTTAGAATGGGAGAATCGGGCTTGGTTCCCTTGCCAACTTCCCTCAGCTTTCTTTGCTAGCCAAGGGTGAAAATAACAAACACTTTTAATATATATCTTTTCCTGATAAGAAGGTAACTGTTCTCTGTTCTGGCATAAATTTGTGCTGCTGAGAGAAATTGCCTAGAGGGACAAGAAATGCAATGTTGAGTCACCTGGCCTCTTGGCCAATTCCCAAATCCCCACGGCTGTTGTGACCACATTGGTTCAGCAACCACTGAGAGGAAAAAAGAGAAAGCATCTAACTCCTGCTCCGATTTCACAAACTGCACTTAGTAGATGTCTGTTTTGCCCTTGCCTGAAACCATTCTATTTCTTTGATTTTAATTTTCAGCCTCATTGTCTCGACAGCATTCTGATAATGTACTCACTGTATGGGTTGTTGACAGGCTATAGTGATTGTGAAAGGGGAACCATAGCAGTGACCTGGTCCTTATTTTTCCTGATCGATTTGTCAATTTTCAATAATTTTTATATGATTCCTACAATTAGTCAATGCATTCTGTGTATGAGAGTGAGACTGAATCCACGTCAGAGATAGCATGTGCTTGCTTGATTGAGTAGGGTCTGTTTATATTCATGGTAACATTCACAATTAATTTCACTGTCACCAATGCTTTTCAAAAAGCAGCATTATAAAAGGAGAATTGACAGACATTTTTTTACCACTTTTATGTTCTTATGTCTTATTTTTCTGTTATTTCAAGTGTTTTTTTACTTATTTATAATTGTACAAATCATGTTGATACATTTTGTTGTAAAAATAACTCCCTATATATTATACATAAAGCTTGTCTTTTTCTTGTTTGTGACCATTTCAGGTTGGTAGTCATAGATCTATCATATTCTTTTTAATCATTGCCTGGTATTTGTGGCAGAATGAATCTTACATTAAATCTTCCATATTGATGGACATTTAGCTTCCCATTTTTTATTGCTACAAAAATGTTTCAATAAGCATATGGACAGATGCAAAGATTTTTCTAGAGAACATAGTAGGAATCATATTTTTTTGGTTCATATGGTTTACACTTAAAAAAATGGTTGTACTGATTTATAGCCACCCCCAGAAAAGTATATCTTGATATTAGCAAATGTATTCTTTGTCTCTCTAAAAAATACATGGTACGTAATTGCTTTTTAGTTTGCATTTTGCTGATTGCTATTGAGTATCTTGTGAACATTGTGTTTATTCTTCAGTGAACTACCTATTTATATCCTTTGTCTAGTTTTCCTTTTTTTTCTTTTTCTTCAATTGGTAGTGTTCTTTGTTTTATTTTTTCTTAATTCTTTGAATATTATAAATTATGTTTCTGTAAATGTATAATGATAAGATATTTACATACATATTTAAATATATTTCTGTAAGTATCTAGAGATAACCCTTCATTAGACAAGATACTTTTACTTCTCTTTACTTCTTTCTCCCATTTCTCAAATTGTTTTTATCTGAGATTTTATTTTAGGATTTACTTATTTTTTTCAAATTTTTATTTATTGATTTGAGAGAAAGAGATTAAGAGAGAAAGAGAGAGAGAGAGAGAGAGAGAGAGAGAGAGACATCTATTTGTTGTTACATTTACTTATGCATTCATTGGTTGATTCTTATATGTGCCCCGACCAGGGATTGAACCCACAACCTGGCGTATTAGGAGGATGCACTAACCAACTGAACTCTCTGACCAGGGCATTACTTGATTTTTTTAAAGATTTACTATTTTTTGTGTACCACTGATCTTTGTATCTTATTACTTCCTCTTGGAGTGGTTTTTCATTTTGCTGGAATGTGTTCTCTAATATTTTTTTCAGAGAAATTTCAAAATAAAATCGTCCCATTCTTGCCTGGTGGAAAATCAGCCTGTATTTTTTTCTTCCCAGTGGTATTGACTGAGTATAAAGTTCTCTAGACTCAAATAGCTTCTTAGGATTTCGCAGATTTTTCTTGTTTTCCAGTGTTGCTGATGAGATGCTTGAGGCCAAGCTGATGCTTATTTCTTGATAAATAACCTCTGCTTTTCCTTCTGAAGCTTTTAAGAGTTTCTCCTAATCCATGTTATTCTTAAATTTTAGAACAATGAAATTAGGTGTGTTTGTGTTTAAGAATTTATTCTGGCACAAGTGTTCCTGTCTTTAGTTCTGGAAGAATTTTCTAATTTATTTAGATGAATGTTTCCACTTCTGGCTCCTCCCTTCATACCTCTCAATCTTTCTGTAATACTTTCCATCTGCTTGTCTTTTTGTGCTGCATTATGGGAAAATTGGTTTCCTCACTACTTTACCCTTCAGCTATTTCTGCAGCTACTGAATTTTTCTCTTCCAACAGTCAGTTTTTAATTTCTGCCATCTCTAGTGATTGGTTATTATGATTGAAACGCCTCTTTCCACATTGGAGCTCACCGTATCTCTACCGTGTCACAGCTCCTAGCATGACTGATTTTCTCCTGGCAAGTTCTCACTCATTGCTTCTACTTGGAAGTGGCTACAGCTGTTGTTGGATTCTGTGTCTATGGTGAGGAGGTAAGGGTGGAAAGTTTATTCCTTCTGGTGTTGGCTAATGACCCTGTGGCTTGGCCTCCGTGGGACTCTACTCTGTCCTACAGTCCACCCCTTTAGTCTTGGGTCAGCTGAGAGCCTCCCTGTTTCATCTAATAACACATACTATGTATTCATTTAGAGCTGTGCTGTTTTTGTTTAATCCCATTTCCCTGCTTTCTCTTGTCCAGAGGTTCCTCATAGTTTCTTATCCATCAATAGTATGCTTCCTTGTTTTTCTGGCTTTAATTTTTTTTTTTGGGGGGGACTAATTTCTAGAAATTTGAGATGAAAGGCAGATACTTCAAAGTAGGGCTTAGTTAACATGTATTAATTTTCTTCATGATGGCTTCCAAAATTTTGTTCTTTTTCAAGTTAGATTGAGCAGTAAATTACACTAGACTTTTTTGGATTTAAATTCTGTCTCTGAAACTCCATGTCCAGGAATTCAGATGATATGCTAATATCTTCAAGTTAGATCTTGTTTGCAACACGGATTCATGCTCAGAGGCTTTTCTTTTGGGTCCCACCCTTTTCAAGCTTTTAAAACATATCTGTTGTGTTTAATTAAGTCACAGTATGCTAAATTCTTCTTATTTCCACTTCTTTTGATCAAACTTTTCTCAAGAGTAACTCCTAAGAGTATGGTCTTATATGTTTTATTGTTGTAAACCAACAATTTGCCAATAACTATGGCCATTCAATTTAGTTAGCAACTAGTAATATTTTAAGTTCAATAACAAAGAGCTATTGGCAATTCAATCTTTATAAGGTAGGTTTTCTTAAAAAATGTCTCCTTTATTAAGGAGTACAAGTTGCCAGTCATAAAAATAGTCACAGGGATGTGAAGTAGAGCATAGGGAATATAGTTGATAGTACTCTAATAACTATGTATGGTGTCAGATGAATACTGGACTTACCAGGGTGATCACTTCAGAAGGTATATATAAATGGCTAATCATGATATTGTCCACCTGACAGTAATATAATATTGAATGTGAACTGTGATT